ACCTTGATCAAATAGACCAACTTTATATTCCTTCCATTTTAACAATTTTGATCTTTAATCCCTTCAGATAAACTAGAACTTGATTTCTTTTCTTTTTTTCTTTGTCCTTCTCACCAAGTCTTCCAAAATCTTAACAGGTAAATCCAATATACAGAAATTATCGAGGTCACTCTCCTGGTTGGTTGGTTGTATGTCCTTTTACTTATTAAAATATCAGCCGGTTTCATTTGTATATCCAGTATTTCATCTTTTTCCAGATCGTTCTTTTAACCTGTCATTTTTAAATCCATGTTCAAATCTATTTCAGTCTTATCCAAGTAGAACTTGTTCCATGACATCATTCACATACAGTCTATCTATGATGGCAGACATTCTTAAAATTAACTTCTGAGTCCATTGTTCTCATGTATCCTTCAGTACATTCAATGTTAAGGTATTTTGTTCCATTCTACCTTAACAAGTGAAATTGGTGTTCTTCTCCTTAATTGTAATCATTACTTCCTTTTAGCTCCCTCTAGTGTCCAACCTTCAAAGTCCCATTCTATCATGTTTTTTTTTTTCCAGAATTCAGAACATGAGCTGTTTTCGTATGGGAAGGATTCATTTAATTAATTTCAAAATCCCATTTCAAGTCCATCTAGACTTTTAGTCCATTTATAACTCTGTAATCCCCCTTTTGCTGTTTATTCCCAAAAAACTGCTAAATTCTTAAAGTTGCACTTAAAATTACTTTCATTGAGGATTGAAGGAAACTCACCCAGTGAATGCCATCAAACTTGCTGTTCTGAAGGTTTGAAAAGCAGTAAAAAAGTAATTCCAAAAGTGGTTAAGAAATGAGGCTTGGTTGAGCTTTGTGTCTATTTAGGCTACATTATGATTGTGGGCATAGATGGAAGCCATAGACTCCCGGCCACTCCACTCACCAGCCAATCGCAAAAACATTGGTTCCTGTGGTCTACTCTCGAGGAGCAGCAGTTTGGAGTACATGTAGGCAATCCCACCCTTTCTCCTTGCTCTGGAGAGATTTTGCTGGCCAGGATCCATCCCTGGCCGCTAATCTTCACCATAATGCCATCCCTGCTCCTTCAAGGACGTCTAGCTCTTCATGTCCTCACTGGAAGTCTGATGTTCTCATAAGATTATAAAAGATTCATGAAACAAAGCTTCAGTTTAAAATTGTTCTTGATTTTTCCTTTTAAGATTAGTTCTTACAGCATTAGTTACACTTTCCACCAATTCACCAGAGACTGACATAAAATATTCCTTTCCATTGTGAAATCTGTAAATGAATGCAGCCCATACTTGTAATGTTACCAAAGTTCTATTAA